AAAAAATGGTCAAAGCAATCGGAGAAAGAAGAGACCTGACTGACGCTGGAACACAGATCAGAGTGACAGGAGCCACGACACACGAGAGGACAATAAGCCGTTTCTTTAAAAGCTCGGCAAGAACGACAGGATAGGAGTAACATCAAAGGTGAGAGAAGTGTGTTTCTGCACAAGATGGAGTATCAGGGATTAGATTGACTCGCCCACCTGAAATTCCAAGGGGGAAAAGAGAACCCACCAGACAAAATACATCAAAGTTGTTTTTAAGACACTTGACATGGCACAACACAAACGGTGATCCCCGAGAGAGAAAACAAGTCGCTTCCCTAGCTTGATTTTCCACTGGAGCCAGCATGCCAGCGGTCCAGGGAAGCTGTGAGAACCCAAAGGTGATACGGACCACGTCATGTGAAGAGCCCCGGTCATACTTGACCCTGGCCAAAAAGCTGCAGAAACCGAGACAGCAAAGGAGAAGAATCGATGTTAACTATGCTGCTCTCGCTAAGTGAGGTGTAATCAAGAGAGACCAGTCCATGGGGAAGGACATCATGCTTGGTAAAGCAGAGGGGCAGCGAAGAAGAGGAAGGCCCTCAGGGAGATGGGCGGACACAGTGGCTGCAACACTGGGCTCAAGCACAGGACAACTGTGCGGTGGCACAGGACCGTGCAGAGCGTCGTCTTGTGCCCAGGATTCCTCTCTGTCGGAGCTGACCCAGAGGCAGCTGACAGCATCTCTCAGTGTTAGGGTGCAGGGAGGTTCTCATCTTCCTGTTTCTATTGGCCAACCCATTCTTTGATCCTTCACTAAGACCCTAAACTATAAGCGCTGCTCTCGGGAGAACAGAATAAAACTCTATTCTACCCTAGAAAACAGAGCAGAACTCCTCCCGCCTTAGGGCGCCAGGTCTTTCTGCGGGGGACATGCTGGTGGGCTCAAAGCAGCCCCATCTTTTGATTAGCAGCCTGATGCTTTAACCACTGTACCACCAGGGCTCCTTATTATGTAATATGGAAGAAAAGAAAGGACTTTTTTTAAAAAAAGGAAAGAACAAAGACAAGCAAGAGAAAAGGAAGGCAGGAGGGAGGCATGGAGGGCGAAAGGAAGGAAGGAAAGAAGGGGGTGGGGTAGGGAAAGGCCCCTCGGATGGTTTCTAAGCCCAAGAGGAAAATGTAGCCAGCCAGCCAGCCGTTTACCTTCTTTAGCAGCTGAATTGCTTTTCGGAGCTCTCCTTTGGCAAAGCAGATCCTGCCCAAGTTATAAAAGGTTTGAGCGACCTCTTTGCTGCACCCCCTGTGGCTGATGACCTGGGACTTCAACAGAGCCTTCATCATTGTATAAGCCTCCTAGGCGATGGAGAGAGAGAGTCAGCCTAGCATTTGGAAAGGAACACATGGTGCTAAGTCACCTGTCGCCCACTCCATGAGTTCTACCAGTGTCCTAGACCCGCAGCACCAGTCAGTTGGGACATGCCACCTGAATGACTTGTTTCTATTAAAAGTTAAAGTTTGTCAATAATAATAGCCCGTGTAGATGTGTATAATGTTATTTCATTTTAATGGCTACCCTTTGAGAGAGGAATGATCATTGCACTCATTTTACAGAGGGAATCGAGACTGATAAAAGCTAAGTGCGTTGTCTGAATTCCGTCGCCTTCATTTTCCCTCATGAACATTTTATTTTTGAGAAATTCCAAATCTTCACAAGAACAGAAAGACTAGCACAAGGAGTACCCGATAAAGTTTTCATTTGGATTCACCTATGGCTACCAGTTGACCACTCTCTCTCTGTCCACACACGCCAGCATACATACGTGTAATCAACCTAATGCCCTATCCCCACAACTTCAGTAGATATCGTCTCAGAAGAAAGACACCCTTTTCCACCTAGCTACAAACACATGACCACCCTCGGGCAATGGCACCCGGATATGGTGCTGCTGTGGGCGGCGTTCGGTGCTATGAAGTTGGTTTCAACTGAGAGCGACCCTGCGCACCCCTGAACACAACACTGCCTGGTCCTGTTACCTTTGAACCCATGGTTGCTGCCACTATGCCAACCCACCCTGCGGAAGATCTTCCCTTTTTTTCATTTACTCTCTACCAAGCATGATGCCCTTCTCTAAGGGCTGGCCTCTCCTGACATCATGTCGGGCGGGAGTAGGTGAGATGAACGAAGTCTTTCCATCCGTGCCTCTAAGCAGCATTCGGATGTCTCCTGCTCACAGGAAACAAGATTAACAGTCCACATTTCCTAGTTGCCCCAGGAATGCTTCTTTTAATGTTAAGGCTATAGGATCAAATGAAGAATCCCAGCCTGTGTTGTCACCATGACACCAGGCTCTTTAACCTGCCATTCTCCTGCCCTGTATGACCTTCGTTACATTGGACATATTTGAAAAGTCCAGACCAGATGTCTTTCAGGCCAGCTCTCACACGGAATCGCTCACTCTAGTGCAAAAATGGAGATTTTGGATTGTATTCATTAGCCTTTCCAATGTGCTTGCTTCCCAGGGATTGCACGAGTCCCCTCATTGTGGGCGACCCCACAGACTGCACATCACCCAATGCCTGCGTCATTCACGTGGACGTTTAGAGGTGGTTCTCCGGAACTGGTCTGGACACACACTCATCGTCTGTTACACGTGGCACGCCAGAACCACAGACTGCTTCCAAGGAAACACGCCAGTGACCAGGACTCCCAAGGCTCTGTAATGATCTTTTTAAGAGTACGAAAATATGCATATAGTTAGATTCTTGTGTTTCTGTTAATTTTTACTGGTGTCACGTGAAGCCTCTGTTTACAAAAAAACCTAAACATTCCATTCCATGGGAACACAGTTCTTGAGACTTCTGACTTTCGGTTGCAGCCTTCAAGAAAGACTTAGGCTCGGGGGTGAAAGAAAAGCAGTTATTTAAAAAATAGGATAATCCCACAGGAAATGTGTTTAACATCTAGAAATTAATTTACTGTTAATCAACTACTTGGTAATGTGACTGTCTCGGGGAAATGCGGCATTGAAAGTGTGCCCTGATGGAGTGCCTTCTGTCTGGGAAGGTGACCTGGAAGTACTTGGTGAGAAGCAGACGGCCCATAAGTCATTGCTGCATTAGGTTTTTAAAGTAAGTTCCAGTCCAGAAGAGAAGGGACTTTTGCTTCCACTCTGAGGAGGTCCATTTCTGAAACCTTGCTCGGCACCTGGCTGTCACATGGCCGGCAAGGCCAGCTCACACTCATCTGTGTTTCCCACTGGACTGAGGTACAAAGTTGGCTTGGTCAGATAAAAGCCCTACGGGGGATTTAGAGAGAGAGATTCAGTGTGTTCGTCTTGTATTACAGAGTAAAGGTTCACGTCCAAAGGTTTTGAGCTTAAACTCGTGGAGCTTCCAAGTGAAAAGGCAAGCAATAAAAAATACTTCATCGCTTTGTATGGATGTCTGCTTCTGATTGTTGCGAATGTGCACAGGGATAGACACACCAAGTCACCCTTTCCGACACGTACAGCTCAGTGACATCGGCTGCGTTCAAGGTGTGCAACTTTATAACATCAGTTCTTTTAAGATCATCTTACTGGGGGCGCTTACAGCTCTTACAACAGTTCATACATCAATTGTATCATGCACATTTGTACATATGTTGCCATCATTATTTTCTAAGCAATTATTTTCTATTTGAGCCCTTGGTATCAGTTCCTCTTTTTTCCCTCCCCCCACCCCCTACCCTCCTGACCCTTTGATATATTATTTTCATATCTTACACAGACCGGTCTCCCTGCCCCCAAGGTTTCTGTTGTTCCGTCCCTTGGGGGGTGGGGGGTGGTGTTATGCATTGTTCATTGCAATAGGTTCCCCTTTCCTCCTTTCTTCCCCCTACTCTCATGGTATCACTACTCCCATTTCTGTTCCTGAGGGGTTTATCTGACCTGGATTCTGTGTGTCATGAACTCTTATATGTAACAGTGTACATGCTCCAGTCTAGCCCACAAGGAAAGGCAGGACTGGGGTCATGATAGTGGGGGGTGAGGAAGTCTAAAAGAACCAGAGGACCAGAGGAATATTGTGCGTCTCATAAGTGCTGTACTGTATGTGCCCTGGTTGACTCAGTCCTTCCTTGTGATCCTTCTGTGAGGGATGTCCTATTGGCTACAGATGGGTTTTGAGTCTCTGCTCTGACCCACCTCCTTCTCAACAATGTTTTGCTTTGTTACTTGATTCTGTTGTCACCTTATGATCACACAGGCCGGTGTGCTTCTTCTATGTGAGCTTTGTTGCTTCTCTGCCAGATGGCTGCTTGTTTAACTTCAAGCCTTTAAGACCCCAGATGCTCTATCTTTTGATAGCCGGCACCATCAACTTTCTTCACCACATTTTCTTATGCATCCATTTTGTCTTCAGTGATTGTGTCGGGAGGGTGAGCATCACAGAATGCCAGGTTGTGGGAACAAAGTGTTCTTGTGTTAAGGGAGGGCTTGAGCAGAGGCCCAAAGTTCATCCACTTCCTCAGTGCATTGCCATATAAATATATGTACATAGGCCAATGCCTCTGCTTTTATGAATATATTTACATAAGTGCACACCTATGTTTATATCTCTATCCATCACTTTGCTTCCTAGATCTGTCTCCTGTTTCCTTTTACCTTCCTCCTGCCTCACTATCATGTTCACCCTTCTTCTGCCTCTTGGTAATTCCTCTCAGCTAGATTGCTGTTGCTCCAACACCACCAGATCTCTACATCCTCTTCATTGTTGCTTTTACTTCCCTAGTTGTTCCCTTGGCATTATTTGCTCACCACTCCTCTCCCCCGTCTCTTCCTTGCCCCAGGTCCCTCCAGAACAGTCCCCCCCGCCCGGTCCCATTGCTTTTTCCTCGGGCTTTCTTCCCATGCCTATCATATTGGTAGGCAAAACAACAACAACAGAGACAAAACAAAAAGAAAACAAAAGATTGAATAAAAAGAGGAAAAAATACTAGCCAACCAAAAAACCCTGAAAAAGCATACATCATTCCAGGCGTGTCCACTGATCTTTATGACTATCACCCCGCTGGTCCTGGGGGGTTTTGGGAACTGCCCCTCCTAGCCTGAAGTCTATTTTGGGGGCTCCTCCGGTGCTTTGTGGCTTTTCTTTGTTCCTGTTGCTGACCTGGTATGTTCCCTTCTTGGTTCACCCCATTGTGGGGGGTTCACACTGGGCTCATTCCTGGCACAGCTAATCAAGAGTTGAAGACCAGAAATGGAGAAATGCACTCCAAGAGGAAATAACTGGCTGCTAGTGCCCAAGGTGGAAGCCAATTTGGACTTAAAGGATTAAATTTACAGGACCAGAGATGAAGTGCCTGTGTCCAGGAATAGACAGAACTTTTATATCAGAAGAAAATCGTTTTTCATTCCTATCCCAAGCTGCACCAGCCCTGTTGTGTCCCTGATTTGTTTCTAGAACCATGAGATGAACCATTAGTGACCTAATAAACACTAGCAATGATATGTATGGGTGGAGCATGTTTACCTGCTTTTTTCCATTTTGGACAAGCCATTTGGAAAATTCTTCAATGGTTGTTAGCGTTTCAGAATCCTCTGAGCCCAATGTTGCTTGGTATGCAGTGATACTTTTTATATAATATAGTTCAACAATATCTACAAGAAAAGGGGGCCAGAGAGGAACATTTAAGGCAAACTGCTAACCCTTGCAAGTGCCTATTATGCACGCTAGTTCAATTTATAATAAGACACTTTCATACTTCGAGTCAGCGCCTGGTCTCACTCAGGGTTTCTTGCTGCTGCTGTCAGGTGTGGCTATGGAGGGAGAACAGAGTAGCATTACCCCCACAGGGCTGTCTACACTTGCAATCTTTATGGCAAAAGGTCACCAGGTCTTTTTCCGAAGGAGCCACTGGGTGGATTCTAACTGTTAACTTTTGCATTAACAGTGGAGTGCTTAATGGGGCACCACGACAGCTCCTACGTTTGAGCCAGACCCACCGCCGCTGAGCTGCTTCTGAGGCATGGAAGCCTGATAGGACCAAAAGGAACTGCAACTCAAGGTAAAGCAAGCTGGAGTCTTCCCAACAGTCGACCCCACGGCAAGTGGAGAGAAGAATGACGTTGTCAAAGATTTCATTGCATTTCGATCCACAATAAATGCTCATGGAAGCTGCAGTCAAAGCAAATCATTGGGTATATTGGGCTGATAGGCTGCTTGAGATCGATGTAAAGAATTGAAGAGCAAAAATGTCACCCTGAGGAGCAACGTGTGCCTGGCCCAAATCATGGTTCTTTTCAATTATCTTATAAACATGTGACAATTAGACAATAAATAAGGAAGACCTGAGAATGGGTACATTTCAGTTACTGTGTTGGCAAAGACTATTGAACGGGCCATAAACTGCCAGAAGGACACATCTGTCTCAGAAGTACAGCCGAAAGGAGGTAAGGAGAGGGAGAAAGGTGGAACAGATTACAAGGTCTACATATAACCTCCTCCCCGGGGGACGGATAGTGGAAAAGTGGGTGAGGGAGACATCGGATGGTGTGAGATTTATAAATAATAATTTATAAATTATCAAGGGCTGGGGGGAGGGGGAGCGGGGAGGGAGGGGGAAAATGAGGAGCTGATGCCAAGGGCTCAAGTAGAAAGCAGGTGTTTTGAGAATGATGATGGCAACATATGTACGCATGTGGACACAATTGATGTATGTATGGATTGTGATAAGAGTTGTATGAGCCCCTAATAATTTTGTTAAAAAGTAGTACAGCAGGAATGCTCCCTTGAAGCAAGGAAGGCGAGACTTCATCTCACTGACTTTAGACATGTTCTTCGGAGACCAGTCCCTGGAAAAGGACATCGTGCGTGGTAGAGAGACAGCAAAATATAGGAATACCTTTATGATTTAAAAAAAATTTATGGACACATTTTTTATTGTTTGAGCCCATTGTTGTAGCCACTGTGGCAATTCATGTCATAGAGGGCCTTTCTCTTTTTTGCTGCCCATCAGTTTTACCAAGTGTGATGTCCTTTTCCAGGAACTGGGCTCTCCTAGCAACATGTCCAAAGTACATAAGACAAAGTCTCACCAAAGCCCTTGCTTCTAAGGACCACTTTGGATGCACTTTTTTTCTTTCTGTCTTTTTAGGGGTTTCTTTTTCTTTTACTGGTCTCCATTTGTTCCTGCACCGCTTGTTTGTTAAAGGTATCCTTTATCCAATGAATTGCTTTTGTACCTTTGTCACACATCAATTGACCATACTTATGTCGATATTGTGTGAAAGCAGAGAATACTAGGAAGATGTTTACTTGTGTTTCAGTGACTATGCCGCAGCATTTACCTGTATGGATCATACAAATTACAGATATCCTTGAGAAGAATGAGAATTCCAGAGTACTCAAGCAGAAGCTGTATATGGATCGGGAGGGAGTTCTACAAACACAACAAGGGAATACTGCGTATCTTAAAATCAAGGTGTGCATGAGGAGGGTTGGATCCTATCACCACACTCATTCCATCTGTATGCCGAGCAAATCGTCAGTGAAGCTGGATTGTGTGGAGAAGAGCACGGCCTCAGGGTTGGTGGAAGGCTTATTAGCAACTGCGCTATTAACACAAGCTTATTAACACAAGCTTGCTTGCTGAAAGCGAGGAGGGCTTAAAGCACTTGCGGATGAAGATCAAGGATTACAGCCTTCAATATGGATCACAGCTCAGTGTCAAGAAAACCCAACTCCTCACAACTGGATCAATAGATCACATCATGACGAAAGGAGAAAAGATTGAGGTTTCAAGGATGTCATCTTGTTTGGATCCATAATCAATGCCCATGGAAGCACCAGTCAAGAGTTCAAAGATTTTATTTCATTGGGTAAATCTGCTACCAAGACATCTTTAAAGAGTTGAAAAGCAAGGATGTTACTTTGAACAAGGTACATGCCTGACCCAAGCTGGGGAATTTTCAGCCATCTCATAGGCATGTGAAAAAGTTATTGAGTAAGGAAGGCCAAAGAAGAATCCTTGGATTTGAATTGTGGTGCTGGTGAAGAGTAGTGAAGGTACTGTAGACTGCCAAAAGGACAAATGAATCTGTCTTGGAAGAAGAATGCTCCTTGGAAGCAAGTTTGGAGAGACTTAGTTTGGGCGTGTGATCAGGAGACACCCGTCACTGGAGAAAGGCATGCTTTGTAGGAGTGGGGGCACCGGAGACGAGGCAGGCCCTTGACAAGATGGACTGACACAGTGCTCCACCGATGAGCTCAAACAAGAGCAGCTGTGAGGATGGCACAGAATCGGGCAGCGTTTTGTTTCGATGGACACAGGGTCGCGAGGAGTCAGAAACAGCTCGATGGTGCTGAGCAACAATTCTGAGCTCTCTGTTCTGTTCCACTGACTCTCTTTGTCTATCCTCTTGCCAATACCATACTTGCTCGATTATATTGCTTTACAGTAAAGCTCAGTGAGTCCTCTAAGCAGGCTGAGGATCTTCCCTCCCTTTAAGCATGAGTGTGTGATTTTCCCAAATGCTTTTAGGCATCAGTTGATATTATTTTCCTTTCCAAAAATTAAAACAAACAAACAAACAAGCAAGAAAAACAAAACTCTCTGCCCTCTAGTCAATGTGAGTCATCCTATAAAACAGGGTAAAAATGTCCCTGTGAATTTCCAGGAGTATAACTGTTCATGAGAGTAGAAAGCCCTATCTTTCTCTCATGGAGTGCCTCGTGGTTTTGAACCGCTGACCTTGAAGTTAGCAGCCCAACGTGTAACCACGGTATCACCAGGGTTCCTCTGGTGTTTTCCTTTAGGCTGCTAACATAGTAGATTGAGCACTGACCCTCCATCATCTTTATAAATGAGTTTGAAAAGTGAGCCAGCTTAAATGAACATTCTCAAGAAAAGAATGCCACTTGGGCAGTGAGTATCATTCTTTTTAATATGTCGCTATATCTATTTTAAGGATCCCTGGTGGTCCTGTGGGTTAAGCATTGGGTTGCTAAACAAGGTATTGGCAGTTCTAACCCACCAGCTGCCCTGAGGAAGGAATTTAAGGCTGTCTGCTTCCATAATGATTTACAGCCTTGGAAACTGTGGAGTAAAATCAAGATTAGTGGGTATGTATTTTGTAGAGGACTTTTAAGTCCATACTCATGAGGGGTACTGGTCTGCAGATTTCTTAGTAATACATTTGTCCGGTATTGGTACTGGGCTAATGCTGGTTTATAAAATGAGCTGGGAAATGCTCTCTCTGTTTCTGTTTTCTGGAAGAGATTATGTAGAATTGGTGTTATTGGCCAGGGGAAACATCTTGGCCTAGAGATTTTTATTCAAGTTAACTAAGGTTCATTTTGCTCAATAGTGAAAGGATTATTCAGGTTATCATTCATTTAAGAGGAGTTGTTTGCCTTTTAATTTTGTTTATAATACTTTTCGATAAGTATGTGTATGTTTTAGATCTCCCTGTAAGTAAACCTTCTGATGTTTTAGGGTATGTATTTGTGTGTGCTTACAGATTAATTCCACCAATTTTTAAGTCTAGTATTATTTGTTCCAGTTTTTCATATGGTTAATTTTTGTTTTCAGGCTTGATGTATAAAATTCTAATCCATCTAGCATTTAATTTAGTGAATATGAAATGAAGACCCTTTTAAAAAAAAAGCCTTAGAATTTCCCAACTCTATAAGCACAAAGTTTTTCTCACATAAAACAGCAAAAATTATATTTATTAACAGATGAAGTTCTTTAGAGCTACAAAGACTATGGAAAAAACCCACACAAACCATAGAAACACAGATACATATAAATGGGAAGTACACAGACTCTGCATGCACAGAGTTAAGTGTTTTTTAAAGAGAAGGATGCTTAGCTGGAAAACACCATCAGATCTCCAATGAATATTTATGCTATGAAAGTTAACTTCTAAATACCAAAGGAAAAAAGTGTTTATTTAATGCCATGAGGGAATCCAAGCATGGAGACATAGGCTGTAAAACCTGTGATACATATGAAAACACACACACTCAGCTATGGCTGGAAAATAATGTATATTCAGGTAAGTTACTTTCATAAGCAGAGAAGATCAACGTTTTAAAAATGGTTACATTGCATTCTTCACAGACCCCAAGTTCCTCTGGTCTCGGCCCAGAATCCATACTGCCCCATGCCCACTGACAGATCAACTGAGCTGCACACAGGCCCCTGTCTCTTTTCCTCACTGGACCGTCCAACTTTTCCAAAGCCACCCGCTTTCCAAAAGGATGAACTTCCCAGGCAAAGGTCCATTGCTTAAGGATAAACCAATCCCGTGGCTTTCCTGTAGAACCCCTGCTGCCATTGCTGAAGGATAAACCAATCCCGTGGCTTTCCCGTAGAACCCCTGCTGCCTTGCTTTTGAGTTTCTCTAGAGACAAGCAGCTGCTACACGTGACGTCCTGTAAGCCAGAGGACAAGAGGCAACATGTAAAGAGGTGGAGGAGGAGCCAATGCTTCTCTCTCTCTCTCTCTCTCATTGGATTTCCTCAGCAAACCACACATCACAGGTCACAATCCTAGGGGGTGTGGTCTCTACTCTTTAGGCAGGAAAATTGTGCTGAAAGTCTAAGGGAATAAAGGAAACAGACATCAGATTCATCGCACTGGTTTGGATATGCCAGCAAATTTCTTGAGGCTGGATATCATCAAGCCTAAGTTCACACATAACTGATTTGGTACAAAATCGTGTCCGTGGTACTGTCTCTCCGTCATAACACGAGTAGTGGATTCTCATTTACCGAGGCTTAGACAGGCCAATGTGCTTCCTTCCATTGACTAGGAATTTACGATACTCATGGGCTACCTCTGCTACCTACCTTTGTACTGGGCCTCTCCAGCCGTGGCATAAGCTTTGGCTAGCAACGCGCTCGCCTCCGCGGTTCTGGGGCTGAATTCCGTGAAAACAGACACACAGATAGAATAGGCCTGGAATAAAGAAATCAGGACAAAGTCAGTGTCCAAATGACAGGACTTCACAGCGGACGGTCTAGTGGCTCTCACAGAATTGTCAATTAAGAACCAATCTGCAGCGACTGGCGGCATTGGTTAGTCTGGGAAGGGAAGGACCCACTGCCTGGGCAGGGGCATTTCCTAACATTTCTCCTCAGTGCGGCAGGGACTGCTGCAGACTGGGAGACTGGCTGGCAGGGGCTTTTCTTCGGGATCACTCGGTTTCTGCCGGTTCTGTTGGGTTGCCCAGGCACCTTTTGTATGGCACCGGAAATCCAGTATTTTCATCCTTGTTTTAAC